ACACCCACACCCACACCCACACCCACCCACACCCGCAATACATTTCATTATAATTCCTGCATCACTGCAACTTTCTATTCAACACCACGCAAGAATAAGTAAATAGGAAAGGGAAGCACTGGAACGACTGATTCAATATGTTATTCAAGACTGCTTGGTAATCAGCAACTTACTAACGATCTCGAAATAGAAATCTAGGAAAAAGCCATTTCCATAACGTAACAAAGATAATCAGCGATATGATCGGTGAGTTTGAATCGTGATTTAATTTGCTTAAAACTAATTGATTTTGTTTTCTTATTTACACTGTATTTCCGACATACATACAGATACATGTATTTCTTTCGATTTTCGCAACCGCCCAGTTAGAAATAAATATAAAATTAATAAAACTACTTTGTCATTTACATATTTACATGATGCTTAGTTTCTTTTGTATTCCTGTATTCTAGAAAACGTTATAAAAGTATTCATTGTTCCGAAAATCAAGTTTAACTGGTCCAAACAATAACAGTATACATTCATCGGTAGTATTAAATATTTAATCTTGGATTACAATGACTTTCGACTGGTTGTTATTTTCAGAAAATTCTAGCACAATGGATGAAAATAATAATCCACGACATCAACCATTTGCACAGGTAGACATAAATACAAGTAAAGAAATATAACGAATGTACTTTCTCTTATTTAAGCAATTTATTCCCAAGCAGACAAGAATTGTCGAAAACGCATTTAAACGCTTGAAAAAACCTTCTTACCAGCGTTTACACGCGTGTCGAAAAGTGTGGGCGTGTAAACGCTTAAAACATAGCTTTTTTCATCGTTTCATCGCTCGCTTGTTTTTTACAAGCGTGTAAATGTTCAGAAAGCTTAGATATTATATGTTTTATCGTCAATTGATAAATAACGCGTCTTACATCGTCAATAATCATCGCGTAAACGCTTAGAACGTAGCTTTTTTCATCGTTTCATCGCTCGCTTTTGTTACAAGCGTGTAAATGTTCAGAAAGCTTAGATATTATATGTTTTATCGTCAATTGATAAACAACGAGTCTTGCATCGTCAATAATCATCGCGTAAACGCTCTCTAACTGAACCCAAGCGGACAAACTTTTGAAAAAGCGCGTTTAAACGCTCAAAGTAGTATTTTTGTGAGCGTTGAACTGCGTGTGAAAAAAACTGGTCGTTTAAACGGTCAGTTGTACACAATTCTGAGCGTTTTACGAATGGAAAATTTTCCCTGTTGTTTCGATCACCGTATTTATCGTTTACACGGTCAGTTGTACAGAATTCCGGGCGTTTTACGCTTCCAAAATTTCTCCAGTTATTTCGATCAACTTATTGATCGTTTAAACGACCAGTTTCACAGAATTCCGAACTTTTTACGCATCAAAATTCTCCCTATTGTTCCGATCAACCTACTTATCGTTTAAACCATCAGTTGTAAAGAATACCGAACGTTTACGCATCGGACATGTTTTCTTGTTATTTCGACCTCTAATCCCATTTCGTCTTTTGCCGTTAGGTTCGGTCAATTAGTTTAGTTTCCTTTAAAAATTAAATTTAGCGGCAAGCCTTCATCTGTTTCGACCTCTAATCTCGTTCCGTTGTTTCTCATTAGTTTTGTTGATTTATTTAGTATCCCGACATGCCTTTGTTTGTTTCAACTTATAATCTGTTAGCGTCAACAGATATCACTTAGTTGATGCTAACTATTAAGTATGTCCTTTTGTGTTTTTAAGACCCTACCCCCTTGTTATTCTGAAATCACCTGCCCTAGTTTTTCTTCTTTTTTCTCTTGCGTTCGTTTGTCCCCACTTTTCTATTAGTACGGTCAGTCTGTCTGACTTTGTTCATTTCATTCGTCTTTTTCCCTTGGTCCTGATCAGTCGTCTTTTTTCTTCCCTTGTCTTTTTCCATCGGAACTTTTATAAATAGAGTCCATTTGAAAAGATCCCATCTCCTTCCTATTAACAACATCGACCACAACATCAGGTAGGATCGTTTGATTTTATAGAGTCCCTATATGTTGACCTAACATAATCTCGCGGCCTCCTTTTCTTTTAGGTCCAGTGAGTCAGTTGATTTTTCCTAGGTTGTGAGTTTAATTGTGTAACATAGTTTGCTTCCTTTTTTAATAGTATTTTCTATTTTGTCATCAACTACATGCAGTTAGGTAGTTAGGTTAGATGTTCTGGTTATTTCGTTTCGGTGCATGATTTTGATTCGTCTCCATTTTTTCTCTTCTACAGCTATTTATAGTTTCGAATTCCATGCTTTTGTCGTTTCATCATAGCCATCTTTTATGGTATGCTATAATTGTTTAACTTTATTAAGTATAGCTCTAGCTGCTATTTGTGTTTTGCCTGGAGTGTATTGTTCTGTCCGTTTTCCGCATTTTCGGGATGTTTCGTTCTGTATTTTTCAGTTGCTTTATTCTTCGCAATTCTAACTTCTTTATGTTAGTGTGTTTCATGGATATGTAACTTCTCTGTTTCTCTACTCCTCTCCAGTTATGCATCGTCTACTCTAAATTCGAATTTTCCCTTCCGCATTTTGACTTTCAATTTTTCAATTTTTTTGTCTTCATATATATAATCCTGGCTGAACTTTTAGTCGTTTTCATTCTTATATGTTCGTATGATTTTCAACGTTTTGTTATTCTATATTTAAAAAATGAAAAGCCTTACTGTGATCCACTTTGATTTCATTATCAAAGTTTTTCTTTTGATCTAATTGCTTGTTTCCTAAGCAAGGTCGAAACGCGTCGTATTGTGCTTTGAATCTATTTCTTCAAACTCACCCTTATAAGTTGGGTTATGCAAATATAACCACTTGAACTCATTTCCATAGCAATTCCTTATGTTGGCTGTCTTTTTTGACTTCCATATATATGAATTCTATCGATTAATATGATATCTTTTGGTTATCATGTAATTATTCAGATTTGAAACATACCTGATGAGACCCTTAAGTAAGGTCGAAACGCGTCATGGTTTGCTTTGACTCACCCCATATCGTCACCCTTCTTTTTTTTTACCTATGTGTAGTTATGTCTGCTGAAATAAGTGTAATTATCATTGCTGTTTCTTTTCGATGTAATTCTGTTTTTGACTTTGTTGAGTATTGTTTAGTATGTGTTTTTTTTATTATAATAAATAAATTGAACTCCTATCTCTAGTAAAGATTATTTCAATTAAATGCTTCTTCCTTTCTTTTCAGATTACTATCTTCAATGTATCATAACAAATCGAACCGTACTCGTCAATCAGAATTAGACGCCATTGAACAAAGAGAAGAGGATCATATGAATGATGATAATGATATCGTTTTATTATCAAACGATATGCAACAATCTCATGCAATATATCGTCACAAAGTAATAAAATTTGATTTCTTCTATAAAAAAATATACGTTATGTATGTATAATTCTTTTTTTAGCCTATGGATGAACAAATTTTATCACAAAAAATGAGTCAATGATCGACGAATGGAATAAATGAAAAGCCAACTATGTTAACAAATATTCCAGATGAACTTAATAAAACTCCTGATTGTCTAACGCAACAAAATAAAGCATTCAAACAAATGCTATATCAACTGTTATCCAGAATGGAAATAGCAACGACAGTTAATAATATAGAAGAATTACGGAAAATTACTATTTTAATCTATAAAATAATGTTCATTCAAAATTATCATACATTATGGACAACTTATTTAAAATCAGGAATGGGACAATTGATAACTACATCAGAAAAACAATCAAACTATTCAACATTTTGCCTATATGGCCAAAAGAAATTAAATTAATACTACAACAATCAATAAAGATCAATGAAACAAATGAAAATGAACTTTGTATGAATTTTGTCTCTAATTATTTACATGACCTCGAGTATGAATTGAAACAATATGAAACTGAATTGAATAAGAGAAAACATTCGTTTCATGATCATACATTCACATCAATTCAGCAAATGATTGAAAACTATCTTTAGCAAAATCTATCTCATTTACGCATGAAAATGAACATCAAATGGAACTTATTTATTATGATTATCATATTCAAGCATTAAAACTAACTTATCAACAGCATAATCCAAATGAATATCAAGGATCTTCACCTCAAGATTAAGAAAAAGAATATCTTTTATTGATCGATTCACCATTTTAGAAACAATTAATGGAACAACTTTGTGCTAGTAAATGTGAACAAGAGATAGCCGAACAAGAATTGTATTTACTTCAACAAAGCATTACTTCTAATAATTCATCAAGTGAACCATTTGATTATTCAACACTATCTAAAGTAACATAAATTGATTCTATTCAAAATCCAAGTATTCGACAACAATTCTTGGAACGCTATAAAGAAATTACTAAACAAGCCTAAAATACCATAGTAGCTCTCTGTATGAGCACAGCTGAAGAACAGAGAAGTGAATGTAGAACAAAGTTTAATGCTAATATTAAGAAGATGTGGTCTGATCGTCATTCGTCTGCTGATAAGGAAAAGATACATTTAATTATGATCAGCCTTATTGAACAACGTATGAACAAAATTAGTGAACGTATTAAATGTATCTAAAAATTCAATGCAGATCAATCTATCACTGTTTAAATTGGAACTCATCGTTTTGAATAAAAAGACTATGTATTATTTGTTTTCCTATTTGAATAATAGAGCTATTTTTTCATGTTATTTTTCTTTTGTTGTTTGTTTTTCAGATTGATTTATTAGTATTTCGACAATAGATGCTAGCGGTACTAAACATAAGTCTGATCATCCAGCTGCAAATCGATAGCAAAGAAGAAAATGTCATAGTAATCGAAGAGATCAACGTTTTCGAAAAAGACGTCGTGCGCGAAAAATGAAACCAGCAACAATTAAAAAGTTACTTGAGAAAAGAAATCAAGCTACAACTACTACCAATGTTAATGGTAATAACCATATAAATTATAACACAAATTACAAAACGAATAATAACAATATGAAAACACCAAATTTCAATACAGTATCAACTCAAATATGTGCTGCATCACAGCAAATAACAGTAAGTTCTAATAAACATAAAAGAGATGTCTTATCACAAGAAGTGCCAAATACAAATCCTATTATGGCCAATTCTACATGTAGAAACTTTGGTGTGCAACAGTTATAAAAAAAATGAATAATAAAACGAAAGCAATGGTTAGTTCATCAGCCAAAGTCAATAACCGTGGTATACACAAGGGTTATCGGGATGTATTTTTAATATTAATAGATGATCCATTAGAAAATGAAAAAACACTTTTTTGATTATAGACAACTCATATATTTAAAACAATTATCAACCATACTTTTTCAAATATTAAGTAAAAGATTGAAGTATCCATTGAAGAAAAAAGATGAACAGGGGTTCATTTATGCACGACTTGATTTATTAGATCAACAGTATTGTGCAGAAATTCAATTACAATTATGGCAATCCTGTTTAGATATTGCTTTACAACCGCATATATGGCCAGTAAGTATCTCTTTTTAAAACTCATTCTTATATTATAGTTTTTCTCAAAATTTAAGGAACAAGTCTATGCCATAGCCAAGACCAATAATTTTAACATAGGTCGAGAATATGTTATGAACTCTATACATAATATTAAACAACAATTGATTCAATGTCAATTAGAATTGTCAAAACAATCTAAATTATGTCCGATTACAATGTTACCACTTGATCAAATTGATCATTCACTTGAAAAAATGGTTGGTTATGAACGAAAATATTTATCAATAAGAAATCATCACCAATTACTTCAATTCAAAGAAAAAATTTATGAAAAACAATTAGGTAGATTTATATCTACATATTGTCTAAGTATGAATATAGTAAATCTATAGAATTTTTAATAGAATCGATATTATCTTCATAAAAATTTCTTTTTCCGAATGAATCTATGCATCAGTTGACGACAATACGACAAAAAGAAGCAGTAATTTGGAAAGAGCTTCTTATGTTCGAAACACGATTTATTTGTAAGTTTTTACCAAGAATTTTTGATGATCTAGAACATTTTCTAGCTCCAAGTATTTATTCACCAGTGATTCATACTCCAAATGTGATTCTATTCAAAAATGAACGTTTGAAATTATACAAGAAGCAAAACGTCAATGATTAAATATCTCTTTAAATGTCTATAAGCTTAAAATACAAGGATATCAAGAACAATATAAATATCAATTAATACAATTAGAAGGACTATTATTGAATAATGCAATTAGTAATAATTCCTTAGTTTACAATCATATTAAAGAATATGTAACTTATCAAACAGAAAAATTAAAGAAAGATATTCACAATAAAGTGTCTGCTTTTCGAGGAAAATTACTTCAACATCGTCATTGTTCATTTGCAGCGAAAAAATTCGATTGGTGTCTCTCCAGAACCATATCTCGATTTAATATCTAATCTATTTAATACACGTGAATGCAATCATCTTTCACTCGATAAGATAGTTGTCTTAAGATATTTTTTTTGATTATATCTGTATCTTATAGGTCCATCCTGTATACGTTTCACTCAGAGTGCTATTCGACCTCGAAAACAACAAGAAATTGAAATTAAAAATGAACATACAGATATTTCGACGAAAGTTTAAAATTATTTTGTAGAAAATCAACTTCTTGATTATTTCAACCAGCGTTATTTTACTCCAGTATCATATAAAGATCAAATTCAAGCGTTACAACAAATACAAACTGTAACATTAATTCGACAAAAAATCAAAAAACATAATCTTATTATTCGTCTAACTGATAAAGGCAACAATTTTTACATTGGTTCAACGGTAGAATTTCAACAAGAAGCACAAAAATTTTTCTCTGATACAAGTGCATTCAAGGAATTATCATCGAATCCATTCAATGAAATATTAGATAAAGTTGTTCAATTACTTAATGAACTTGCCTCAAAGAAACTTATTTCCAATGGCAATTTAAAAAATGATTCCTGATCGAACAAAATG